ATTTTTTTCAGACGATTATAAAGTATCAATATATCCAGTATATTTTGTACGTATTGCTCATGATTCCAGTTGTAATAAAATACAGTTACATATTTCAAAATCATTCTTCTGCTGATTTTTTCTAACCCAATAGCAAAGCACACAATTTATAGTTTATAAACAATACACAATGATTTGCCAAACTAGACCTACCACTTAAATGTACAACATGGAAACATGGTTCAATTTTACCGAATGTTAGATAAATGTAAGTAGTATTCAAAGGCAATAGTGTTTGGAATAATAAATCAATACATCGAAGAAACCGTAGATAGTAAATCAACATTTATTTTAATTTTTATGATTAAGTATTTGGATTTCCTTTGTTTTAAAATTTTGTTCATTAATGTTAAAGTGAATAGAAACTATTTAGTTAGTCTATTGAACCAAAAGTAAATTTAAATAAGTAATTCTTCTTCAGCCTAAAAGCCTCAAATTACCAATCTCATCGCCAGGTTCTTCCCCCAAGTCTAAGTAGAAACTGTAAATCGACTCCCTTGCATTCACAGTCAATCTTATTGACACTTTCAATTCCACCTTAAATCCATCAACAGCTCTCTTCTCTTGGTTTTCATCAATATCTTTCCCATCGTTAACGGAGAACTACATCACTGATTCATAAATGAACAGTATGTGTAATAAATAAGTACTACTCTTGGTTAACACATGTAAAAACTATACCCAACTATAAAAAGATAATTAGTCTAAGTATTTTGTTCGATAAGTGTAAAGTGGATTGAGTTTGTTATCCAGTCAAGAAAGTACTGAATGGGAAGGGTTGATGATAATGTAGGCTTCGTTTAGATAATAGGCCGTGTAATGTTGGCTCATATCATACAAGAATAACAGCCTTATCATCCGTCACATCCCCCAGGGGGCTGTAGGTTACCTGTGCAAAACAATGCGTTTAGTACGTCAAACCTCAAATATCTCTAGTGTAGTGTAGACATATGTAAAGGAGAGGGCATGTGCTCATACCAGAATTGTGTCCAGCAATTTAAATCTTTATTGCTGGATGCGATAAAATATCAATCTGAAGATGGACAATAATATGATAAATATTACATAGTTTGCGGTAAAGATAATTCTTGGGACAGCTCTTCTCCACTGAGGTACCCTTGTTTTCTATATAGATGGATTTTCAGCTTACGTTGGGTTCCGAACCACTAGGTGGCCTATATATTTTAAAAACTATTATAAAGGTATATAGAAGATAATGTACCTATCTAGAAAAATTGAAAACGTTTAGGCAAGAAAAAACATCGCTTTTCATTTGCTACTTATTCCAACTAAAGCCCATCAGAATTTGTTTAATTAAATGTACATAACTATAGATATATCTAATCATCTAATCTATCTAAATGTACATAACACTCGAATGTTACAAGATTGCAGAAAATATGAAATTCTTTATGATTTTAGTTTCCCAGTTTAAATCTAACACCCACAGTATAGTTGGACCACAGTTAATATTACCTTAAAATGGGATATTAATTATTAGCCTAGATATTAAAGTTTGACGACATTCCATAAAACTCCGATCTATTGCTTCGGTCTTAATTATTATATAATAGGTTACGTACCTTGGTCCGTCTTCAGTCTTATTTTAGTCAATGGATGACTAGTTTCGGGTACAAAGAACCATTGACAAATCCTTTTCAAAACATCATGTAGAAGCTAGTCAAAATTCCGACGGAAGTCTTCATCAATATATAAATACAAGTTGACACATACAGTTCATTATTAAAAAAACACAAGTTACGGAACATATAAGACGATTGATATTATTATATATTATATATTATATATTATATATTATATATTATATATTATATATTATATATTATATATTATATATTATATATTATATATTATATATTATATATTATATATTATATATTATATATTATATATTATATATTATATATTATATATTATATATTATATATTATATATTATATATTATATATTATATATTATATATTATATATTATATATTATATATTATATATTATATATTATATATTCGAATATCAGTCTTGGTGGCAAAAATGTTTAAATCTTAATTATTGTTTTGGATTATCAATCTTTGCAACAGAACGTTATTTTCCATACACTAGTATACCGGGTTATACACTATTGTGTTATTGGGTGTCTGTGATAGTTTTGCGTATTCATAATACACTTTTTAATAATACAAGTTCACTCTGGATTGTATTGTCTTTTTTTAAGTTCCGAGACAGAGAAACACATTCAGTAGAACGGAGGAAAGCGTTATACTCCAACATGTAATGCCATTTTTTATGCTTTTATGTAGTTTTAGTGATCAGTTTTATGTCATAAAATTGGGTTATAGCTAATGTGTAGTAATTGATGATTAGTGTAGGGACCACATGTTTGCAGTTGAGGGAGGAGCCTATTTACCATATGGTTTTGAATGAACCAATGAGAACCGTGCGGTGTTGCCAAATCTAATAATACCAGCTGATTTGAAAATATTGCTCAGTATATTTTAATTAGTGTTGTCAACGGGCGATGTGGCAACGTTGCACTAGCCTTGTCTTGTGATTGGCTGCCACCAACTGCAAACTTACGTGGTCCCGACTGTAATTATGAATCAAACATGTTAATTAAAACTATGTAGATGAGTGGTTATAGACATAGACTATGTTTTATCTATGTTATAGAGCTCACCCAATAATCAAAAGGTTACTGGTTCAATATTGAGCCAGATGGTTAGCTTTTTTATGGTTCGAAGCCAAAACAAACTCTCCTTGATCATTGGGTTTTTCATAAATGGTCCTGGCTAATGAATCAGCTGATAACGGTTAGTAACAAAGCTACACAATGCATCTCACAATGAAGTGTAGAATATATCCACTCTTCCTTCGCTCATATTTGGGTCAACATAAACATTTAGTATGATGGGTTCCCATCTTATTTGGTAATTAAATTACATTGAGCAATCAGAATGGTTTGTTAGCCTTTAAATGTAAAATATTAATATTGAATAGCTACGACTCCAATTGTATTTTCTGTATTTCATGGAAGTGGACATCAAGAAGTCCTGTTTAATCCAAAAAATATACAGTTTTTTACAGGATTAAACTCCCCAGTATAAATGTAATCCCTCCACTTCATATTGCAGCCAAGTGTATATTAACTCAACATGGGAAGCCTGGACATTACAGTTTCATGACATCCCATAAAATGCTGCCTCTTTATCTAGTATAGCTAGTGTTGCCGTAAATATAGCTTATTGTTTGAGCATGAATACAATTTAGCAACCCACAAAAATTATGTAAGCTTAAAATAAAAATGGTACGTAGATTTATTAAACCTTACAATAGTACAATAGTTTAACTAAAAAAACGATTTAGCTATGCAATATACAATATATTAGTAATAGTTGAGGAATACAAAAACCCTAAACCTATATTTTTACATATACATTATACGCATCGAATCAAATATTTAGTTTTTAGTGAAGGGTTTAATGTGTACCTTTGACTATGGTATAAAAAGTATAATGTTAACAAACAAATTTAATAAAACCCCGATTATGTAAAGGTTATGAAAGTGCCGTTTTCATAACCTGAAAGAAATTGGTTTATAATTTTAATTTAACAATAAAATATATTTCATTGACCATTCATTACATTGTATGATCCTACTCAATGTTTTTAAAGTATTAAGTCACTACTGTCAACAGCACATAAAACTTTGGAATTTACCCTTTATCTCAAATTACCAATCTCATCACCAGGTTCTTCCCCCATGTCTAAGTAGGGTTTGTAAATCGACTCCCTTGCATTCACAGTCAATCTTATTGACACATTCAATTCCACCGTCAATTCAATAGCTACCGGTAGCTTCTTAAACTAGTACTTTTAACAACGTTTTCTTCTAGTAATTAAATAACTAATTTCCAAACAAAAATCAAATATAGGCTTACCTAGTTTTTTTTTTTTTTTTTATAAGCATTGACTACTATTGAAGCAAATCTTATTAACCAGTAAAATGTACTTCCTTAAAAATTTAGTCCACATCAAAATAAGTTTAAACATTTTTTTTATTTTTTTTAGAGGTTGGCGGTCTTTTTTAACCTTGCATTTGCCCGTCCACATAGACTATAGATCTGTGCGTGGAACGTATCCAGCAAAGTAAGGGGTGAGCCGGTACAGTACAAAGGCGAACTGTACTGATAAAAGTTAGTGCCAGTGACCAAGATCCGAACCCACGACACTACTGCACTGGGCCCGAAGTCCGCGACGCTACCAACTGAGCCACCGACTCACCATATAAATAAATTTTAAAATATGAGTTTTTTTATCAATTAGTTATTGTAACTTTATATAGCCTTGACACCTTTATATCAGCCTTCATATCTCGATGTAATGGTGGACAACAAGTTGAGCTGGAGGGATCAGATCTTTCGTACGGCGGACAAGACTGCTAGGAGTGTCGCTACTCTTAGTAAGCTTATAGCCAATGTCGGGGGGTCCTCGGCCCAGCCGTAGAAGACTCTTCAACGCATCTCTGTAGTCCAGTCCATGTTTCTCTATGGCTCTGAGGTGTAGGCAGACACGCTCAACAAGGAAGCATAAATGTTGAGGCTCGCGAGTGCAGAGTCAGGCGGCACTCAGCGTCGCTTCCGTGTACCTCACGGTGTCCGAACCGGCCGTTTTGGTGATTTCTGGATCTTGTCAAACTTTTGGCAGCGGAGAAGAATGCAATATACCAGAGACGAGGCTACATCAGGAAGGACGCTGCAAGTACGGAAGAGCGCTCAAGGTGTGGCAAGAGAACTGGGAACTCGAGGATGTTGGACTGCCAGACTTATCAGACAGGTCCAACAGTGGGTGGAACGGTGGCCCGGTGAGGTCGACTGCTTTCTCACTCAGTTCTTGTCAGGTCATGGTTATTTTCATACGTACCTGCACTTGATGGCCAAAACCAACTCACCTGACTGTATTTACTGCCCGAGCATTCCCGACGACGTGGAACATACCTTTTTCCGCTGTCCACGATGGGATATGCTCCACCGTGAGGCCACTCAACATCTTGGGGTGCTGTCAGTTGAATGGATTTATGAGACCTTGCTAAAGGGTGAGGACAACTGGGATTGCTGGTTGCAATTAGTCCGGGATTTCCTTCAAGTTAAAAAGAACGATCTAGAACGGATAGCAGTCTAGATCGTGTAAGAACTGAACGGATATACACGGAGTAAGCCAAACGGGCGAAGGCAAACTCTGTCTAGTTCTGATGAAGTGCAACAAGTGTTCCCAGGCTAGTGTCCGAAGAGTAGAGGAGATTTTTAGTGGGTAGTTTTTGGGTCTTAAACCCGTTGCAGTCCCACACTACAGGCCTGCCACCAGTGTGCGTAAATGCATTTTGCCACCTCTCCCTTAGGAAAAACCCCTTTACATACAATTGGTTGATGCTATCTTCTTAAGTCAGTTGTAATAATAATATATTTTACCCGGTAAAAAAAAATAAAATAAATAAAAAAATTTGCAAAGATCTGTCGCTTTAGAATATTGCAATATGTTAAAGTAGAACATTATTGCAACATTCGTTCATACATAAGCATATTCATTTATTTTTTTTCAGTGGCTAAACTGTTCACTTAATGGTTTGTATGTCGGTTCAGGTAAAGGCAGGCTAAAAGTAACATTTATACGCCTCAGGCGATGCACGTCTGGCAACAAATATGACTGACTCTAGATGGATTGTGAGGAGACGCTTCGTGCCTTTTATATGACATGTAATAACTTTCGCATCTACTGAACGCGTGTAAGCGGGGAGACTGAATTTGATGCTTGGAAGCCAGTGTGTTCTGATTTTATTTGGAATAAATAGAATGCACATATGATCTGGGTACAGTGACAATGCAATATTGTGATACGCGTTGTTTCGTATATCGCAAAATGAGGAAATGAGGATTCGAATTATACATTTTCAATGTAAACTGGGTACATATATTATGTTTAATTTTAATAATAAGGCGTGTTAAAAAAGACAATAAAAAATAATAATGCAAAAATTAATAATATTTGAATTCAGCAAAAGATTTTCCGTTACTGTCTTCTGATATAGAGATATTGAAAGAACAAAAATATATAATTGTAAAGCATTTAAATGTGTACAAACTAATAAGGTATGCCGTTTTCACATGGATCGAAGTAATTTCTTTTACTAAGTTGACAGATTTAAAAAAATATTTTTTTAATAAAAAAAATATTAAATTGCGTAAAAAATAGTGTAACACTCATGCTGTAAACATCACAACAATAAAAATAAGAGATCGTTTAAAGGTAAACTCGAAGTTTGCAAACCAAAAATTAATAAAACCAGTTTTCCTGGTTCAACGAGTGTACTAAAATAAAACAACAAAACGTTAGAATATACTATTTTTTATTGTGATGAAATATGATTAGTTCTATGTTTTACAAAAATACACTATTTCAATAAAATCTATTTTTTTTCAGCAATTAATTTGATCGAACTATAATTTCTAAATAGAACTACAACAAACCAATTTAACTTATGCAAATAATATGAAGTTGTTATGACCCTCCATGCACAAAATCCCTTAGACGTCGGGCTGCTGACCCTAGTTACTCTATATGAGATGACCGAGCGTTAAAAGTTTGATGACGTCTCATAACACTACGTCGTTTAAATTAATCTCATCAAAACTTCGTCTATAATACAGGAATGCAATGCAGTTTTATCTTAGCTGGGTAGTTGTCGATTATTCTGGTTACAAAATACTACTATCGTTGATCTACACATTTTTGTATCACAGATACATTTTCTTTGTGAGGAACATTTACGCTTCCTTTTATACATTTAGACGCTAGGCACGAACCCGGGATTGTTTTTCACATTAGTTCAGACTAGAACTAGGGGTTGCGTCATTATCACTTAAATAAAATCCATTGGTTATTTAGTGGGATTTGAACCTGGGACCTCGGGGACCGAAGTCCCGCGCTCTAACCACTAGACCAGACCTCTCCCAATCACGGAGATCGTCTTCCACTCCTTTAAAAAGTCCAAAGATGAATTATTTTATAACTAAAACTCAAGTATGGCCTCTACACCAAGTTCACTGTGTTATTTACACTGTACTTTACAGATACGATAACACAAGGTTTTATCAGCAAGATTTCCTTCATCATTACGAAAATAAAGTAATGAAAATAGTAAATATATTTGAGCTTTTGCTCCAAAAGTATTGAATTACCAATGTCATCACCAAGATTGTCCTCCGAAGTGAAAGTAGGAACTGTAAATCGACTCAGTTGCATTCACAGTCAATCTTATTGACGCTTTCAATTCCACTAACACCAGAGGCAGTTATATAACAGGTTGATTTCAGTTGCATAATATATTTATGTGCCAACAATTGCTCATGTTTAAATTAAAATATGCACTAACTAACTAACCCGTTTGGTAACTCTAAAATAAATGAAGGGACTTAAATTAGTACTGTTGACATACACACACTGTTCAATTGTATTAATAATAGTCAGCTACTTGACGCATTTCAGTAAAATACGTTTTCTAATAAGTAGAATTATAAACACTCTCGTATCCCACTGCTTAAAAATGTATTCATATTTCATCCAAGAAAGACTATTTAAACCTTGTACAATATTATTTTTTCAAATTAAAATTCAACCTTATGTCTCATGACACATGTTTTATGTTGTTTATTATTAATTATGTTACGAAATGTGTATTTTACTTTTGTTCATATCATGTATTATTGTTATTACTATTGTTATTTAGAGGTTAACTGTAACAAAGGACCATGAGGTCCTAAGTTCGCCTCAATAAAGAAGGATTTTCATTTCAAGACAACACTATTTTTTCATCAAACTTAACATGTTATACGAATAGCTCTGATTCATCTAAAATAAAGACTAGCAATAGAGACCGTTGTGGTTAAATACAATGGTATCTAGAAAAATAGTACATAATTAATGAAAATCGTTAACAAAAAAATGTAAAAAAAAGAATATTCATTATAAGGAGGTTGTATAGGGAGGCTGTTTAGCTAAAATGCAAATAACCTTTACGTGGCGAGGAAATCGACCAAAGTGGATCGTGGTATTTTGAAAGGAAATAAAATTTCCAACAAATTACTAATATGCATTTGTTAAATTTATACTCAATAAAATCAGCGTAAACTCGGCTACGAATAAAATTTTAAAACCCTTTTTTTTTGTATTCTTGTGATACTTTTCACCTCAAATCTTAATATAGTAAATAAATAAAACATTCATAATTCTTTGTAAATCTACACGAGTTAAGCCTTCCTACGACCTATTGTTTAACGAAATCGATCTAGTAGAACTGTGAATTTAGTAGTGAAAGTTGTAATAAAAAATATCTCTAACTCAGTTTTTTCTCAACACAATAAATGTTTAGGCTGCTTAACTTGTTTGCAAATGACTTGGTGAGGAAATCGACCAAAGTGCAAGGGGATATTCTGAAAGAGAATTATATTTCCTATCAATTACTAACACGTATAACAGCCAAAACTTTAATCGAAAAAACATTTGGAAAACCCCGTTTTCAATGTATTTTTATGAAAAAATGTTGTTTTTTATAATTATTCACAATAAATCCAAAGAAAAAATAACTTTTATAATATTAGCAAATCTAAAAGCTTTACAACGACCCATAGATTAATGAAATCGGTCGAGTAGAACTGTATATTTTGTTGTACAAAGAGTTTTAAAACTGCATTACTACAAGAGTAGATATACAATAATATTTACTTATTGAGAGGTGCTACCGTAAATAGGATGACAAACTTGTTTCACAGCGACAGAACTAATTTATGTTATACAGTAATTAATTCTAATTCAAAGTCCGATGTTGTCAAAGTGGCAGCGATGACATTATGTCAAATTATTGTTGTTTAATCAACCAATGTTTGTGTTGCTTGATTGTGACGCAGTCAAAGCTACGCGGTGTTTGGTTTGTCGTTTGTTGTTAATATTAGGCTACGCGTTAAACATCTCAATTCGGTAGAAAATGTATAATTAACTATTAGTTAAATGATGTTGATTATTTAGTTAGTCTTACAGAGAGGCAAGAGAGTGAAAGGCATAAGTCTCGTTTTGCGCTTTGTCAAAAATATAAGTTTTACGAATACTTATTGCCATTTCACATAATAACACAATTTAGTATATAATCAAATAGTAACTACCGTAAGATTTTAACCAGTAATACTGATCACTACCAAATTCAATTGGAGACTGGGGCTCTCTGCGATTGGACCTGATGATGACATGAATGGCTAGTCAAAATTAATTTGTCAATGTGAGAGTTTTCATCTTAGTAACTTAATTTCTTACCTAGTATTTTATCTTGTTTTGAATTTTTAAAGTGTAAGTGCATATCGAAAAGTAATGGGAGACTTATTTTGTTGTTAACTTAGAATAGTACTAGCAAGTAAAAATTCTAATCAAGAACTTATTTACTCAACGACGGCAATATTTTTTCTCACATAACCTCACTACCGTACCACAAAATAGGGAACAAGAATAAAGAGTTCTTATTCGTCATAGACACTAAATTACAGCGTATTGGGAGTTGTTGTTAATGTACAAAACGGATTTGCAGACAGATTTGTGGGTTTTTGTAAGAAACTGTACTAATTTGTCAAACAATATAAACTAAAAGCAGAATATAGTCGGAAATATTTTAATCCTAGGCTGAAACATGCAATTAAAATTAGTCTAAATGTACAAATCAGTTGTACAGTTTCTGCATACTGTATATTAAAGAAGTGTTAAATGTTATAAAAACATCCTTTCACATGAACATAAAAAAAGAATATCCCTTCCTCCTTCTACTATTAGCAAAGATTTTGTTAAAAGAAAAACGCGTAAGTAGTACCTAAATTACTGACTAAAATGTATAAACCACTACAATAAAAACTGTGTGAGGTTATAAGCATATGTTAGAACGGTTATAGGAACATCTTCTAACAAATACGTCTGTCACAAGCGGGATTGCAGACGACGTTTTGTGCCTTTGATACGACATGTAATAGCTTACGTATTCACAGACAGTATGTAACCGGGAAAACTGAATTTGATGCCTACGAGTCGACCATATCTGTGTGTGTTAAAACCCACACTCCAATAGATATTTCTTTTTATGAGCAGTGTGTGTGGGTTTTTAAGAAATCCAATAAAACGGACTTAGCTCGTTTTTATTTCTTAGTTGTTATCAACGTAACGAAACATTTCACCCTACCAATACCAATAAGTTGTCTGTAGCAATATTATTATCAAATCCAGATTATGACCAATACGAATAAAGCGGCCATAGCTATAAAAACACACTCTTTCAAGGGATGTATTCACCATTTCATGATTACTTTGTATACTTTTTGCTATCCAAGCTATTAATAAATTATCTTATCAATCAATTAAACATTGCTTTGTTTAGATATTGTCATGTTATCCACTAAAATGATGTTTCAACAAATCCTACCCACATTAAATATACTGTCTGTTACATGATAACCTGCACCTTAGATAAAAAAATAAAATGTGATAAATATTTTTTATTTTCAGTCTAACAAAGTTTCTCTAATGGAATATACTTTACCTACGATCGTTTTTTAAAGTAGCCATTTCAGTTCAGTTCTTAGAATTGAAAAGTTTCACTTAACAGCTGTTTACTTTCATATCAGCATAGTTTTTCTCATATCAACACAGGTAACGGACCAATGAGGTTCAAGTATTGAGAGAAAAGAATTAAAATTACAATGCTTCGAACGTCAACTAATCAGCTGATCAGCTGATCAGTTGACAATTTTAATTGTTGATCTTACTTTTTTCTGTTGATACTCGCGTATTCTTAACCTAAGCTGGTAGAAGTTAAAGGAAGGTAGACTTAAACTGTTTTAAAATGTCATTTAGTGAAAGTGAAGTTGACGAGATGGAAATGAGAGCACAAACTGCTTATAATATTCTATAATATTCGATGCTGAGATCTAACTGTAAATTAACTCTTTCACTATAATCATTCAGTTGTCAAAAAAAAAATTAAATGCAATATTTTCCTAATTGTACCTGATACAGTATTTATGGTAAGAATGCTGCTAGCAGAACCTAAAAAGTCCCCTGAAAAAGGTAACTTATTATTTAACGAAGTTTTACAAACACGTGATAACATGAAATCAGCTGATTATACAATAAGTCGTTGCATCACTTTCAGTGGCACTGACAAAAAACGAAAACATAACCTCTCTAAGAAGTTATGAGTAGTGATTGTTAGTAACTAAAAACCAGATTGTTAGTAATTAAAAAACTGTCGTAGGTAAAGTAGTGTACGCAACTCGCGTTAGTAGTCTTTACGACACTCGTAGAAGTTTTCTACTCTTGTCGTAAAGACCAACTTAACGCAATCGTTGCGTAAACTACTATTACTACACGCCTACAATTCAAAATATATTGACCTTCAGCATTTTTTACTTTGTGACTATAATGTAAAATAGTAACTAGTTGCCATAGTAATAACAGGTTTCGTAACTCTCTTATTCAGTTTGTCGTCCAATTTGTGCTCGCTGTAGCAACTGATGAGACAGTTGCTATATAGAGTCGGGTAACAGTGTTATAGCCTCGTATGTATACTTAGTACATCCCATAAACAGTTGTTATTTTACCACTATATTTACCCCTAGATACATTCAGTGTTAAATTATATCGATGGATTGAGTCAGGTGAGTGAGGTAGAGTAGTCTTATTGGTCCTGTTCACCAAGTGTAAGGTAATAGTGGTAAAGGTATCAGGTTGGATCCGATGAAAAGTAATCGAGTTTTGATAGTTCAAAACTGGGTACAGCTACAGCTGTACTTGATCAAAAGGTTTGTTTCACATCACCATGTTCATTAAAACAGCTGGCATTTCACTACACTCTACGTTCGTCTTTCACTCATTAGGTTCAAACACGCATGTTGTAGGCCTACACTTCACGATGCAATGATAAAAAAAACTATATGTTACATAATAAAGTTTATTACAGACTTCAAAGGACTGTCGGGTGTTTCTTGATCTACCATATACTTGCTCAGTGGCAAGATTTTGACCAACTTTTTTCAATATATTCATAAGTTAAACAATGGAGAGACAACACAACAAGAGAAGAGAAACCATACAGTGCGTCCCAAAAGAATAAGACACCTATCAATTTATCAAGTTCTAAACTAAATAATTACTAAGTTTTGCATAAGTAAAATTACCTTTGTAATACCTAGTGCATCCTTAACTTAAGATTTTCAATAGATCATTCACCCCAGCACAATTCATCCTGAATACTAGGCCTATGCACCTTCATATAATTCAGAATGTAAAGGTCCTATCGCATGCACTTTTCTTATTATTAAATCATTCCTTGATCAGCATTGTACGTGTTATTAAATTTACAAACGTATATTGAAACCTGGCAAACAAATATGTAATATTACGTAATGTTATACAAAAACGGTAAGCTGTTGAAAACAAATTTTAGTGTGTAATACCAGTGATCCGTTTAACCAGTTTGTGGGATTGAACGTTTCGCGACAGACTAGTGAATATCCACTGTTGGTTGATACCTGATACACATTCATTCATTCATATTTGAAAGCTCTATTTAAGCTGGTGAAACAAAGCGTTTAAAATACAGGGTGGGGCAGCATAACTTCCTTTTTTATAAACTTAATAAAACGCATTGTATGGGCCAGTCAAACTTTATTTGGTTTTTACATTGGAAAAACCAAACTTTACATACATAAAGTTTTGTTTTATGTAGTTTTGAACAGTAAATCATGTAGGTGATGTCCCCCATTCTGAATTCATTCAGTATACCGTTTTCTGGTGTTTGTCAATACCCTTTCAAGCATAGCAGGCGTTATGTTGGCAATTTCTTCCTGGATGTTGTTCTTAAGTCTTGAAGGGTTCTTGGACGGTTCACATAAACACGGGACTTCAAAAAACCCCATAGAAAAAAATCGCAAGGGGACAAATCGGGTGATAGAGCCGGCCATTGCAAATCACCTCTGATTGAAATAAGGCGCTCTGGAAAGTGTTCCCTTAAAACAGGCCTCAACGGCAAACGCACGCTCTTCACAGTTCCAACGCATAATGGCAACCGAACTCTGCAAAGACAAAACTTTACAACAATGCCTCTTAAACGAGACTACAAGCGCTCTGCTATGACGTCAACTAACAAAATGGCGCACGTTTAAAAAAAAGGAAGTTATGCTGCCCCACCATGTATAAGTATTTAAACAAAATACAGATCAAGTGATACGGTGCAGTTTCAACAATTTCCAGGTGATAAGTGTTTCTGTTAAATTTCAACAATATATTTCAACAATTTTTGTGAATAGATTTATAAATGGACAAAAATGTCATAATACCAACTTTCTAATAAGACTTCCGTTTTGAAAATGAGGTTAAAATTGGTTTATTATTCTATTAATAGTCTTAACTGACCATTGATGTTTGGCCAGATTCAAAATTAAACCTTCTTGACTGTCACAGTAACCAATAGATCTGTAACCCCACTCAGCAGTAGTTATTGCTATTTATTTATTACCTCTTGATCAGCCTACGTTATTACAAAACCAATTGAGATGGAATTTAGACGAGACAAGATTTTCCTGAGGAGAAAATTAAGAAACTTGATCGACTTTGATAATGAAGTAGGCAAACAGCGGGCTCTCCCCCTTGTTATGTGGCGAGCTAAACCTGAGAGGGTGATCGAAAATAAGGGATTTTACCTTCAACTTAATAACAGGCTAGTTATTACAAGGTAGTAATCCTATTCAGAATTACCCTTTAAATTTAATTATAACTTTGAGCTTAGTTTACAAAATAATGGAATACGTTATTATAACAGAATGTATGCTTAAATTGTTAAAGTGAGATTACAGACGGATGGAAATATACTACAAAATGTCTAATTAAGACAGTTGATTGTTAGAAAAACAGAGGTCAATTTGTAAAAGATAAACAATTATTCATGGTTTTTAACCATAACATTTGTTTTTAAACAAGTAGTTTTTGCTTCTTAAATATTTACCTTATCAACCTTTTAGAGTAAAACTGACACAGATAAAAAATTTTAGTTAATCTTAGACCGATTATGAAAGAAGTAAAAACGTTTACTTCGGAAACATTCACTTAAAATAGAGTCAAAGTGAAAGTTTTGAATGCATCTTTTCTAGGTATGCTATTTTTTTAAACTACATACCAAATTGAAAGAAACTTTGAGTGCATCTCTATGCAATGGTGGGAGGTTGTATTAGTGGTTTGAGCACAGGACATCTGTACTGTTAGTACAGATTCAACCTCACTTCATAGATCACAAATACAACACTATAAACAAAGGAATCCATGCTCAACAACACAGACTAAAATTGTTTGAACAAAAACCTCATTATTCCGGTTAAAAAAAATTCAGGCACTGCCAAAACAACTTCAAAACATTCAAAAAATCTCCAAATTCAAAACAGAAATCAAATCTTTCCTGACAAAAAATGGTTTTTATGATGTGGAAGAATTTCTAAATTTCACAAAACGGAGCCCTTTGGCCTAGGATGTGATTTTCTCATACAGTAAGTTATTTTTACGCCACACTACATTATTTTGACGAACTTCCCACGCAAGGATTTAGTCCAGAAAACACCTGTTTGCCGCCAGATTATTCAAATGGGGTTTCATTGCGTAGTACTGTTCTGCAATGAGTTTTTCCGGACACCAATCAGCTGATTATACTGTATTTGCGTGGCAATGATTGGTTATAAACAAAAATATAACCTCTCTTAGAGGTTATGACTGGTGATGTTTAGTCCTTTAGTTGGTTGAAATATATAAGGATTCGTACGAATTAAGTAGTATGGCGTAAACTATCGTACGTAACTCGTCCAAAATGTGTGTACCGGACTCGTATGGTAATCCCGTACTCGACTTCGTCTCGCACGGGAACGACCACACTCGTCCGGTAAACACTTATTTTCAGGACTAGTAACGTAATATACTATTTATTATTATTAGACCTAACCTATTGACCTGTCCAATTCCTGCCCTGGACTACGGACGGATACTTCAAGTATTACAAGTATTACAAGTATTACAAGTACCGGTAAGTAAGTACGGATTCACATCTTAATCACCAATGACTTTTCTACGTGGTAATAGGATAGCCAAAAGTTAAAGTTGAAGCCAAAACTATGAGTTATAATTTTCCCAGCAAATCATATTATTATACAGTTACTGCAGCAGTTGGGTGCTGCTGTGGTGTTACTTCAATCATAACCATAATCATATCTCAGCATCAGATGTATCATTCACGACACGTAGGTAACTCAGTTATACGATACCTTCCTCTGAACCATCTCATTAGGACTTTGATACCAGTTCTAACTGGGCTATTAAGTAGATTTAGCCTTAAACCAACCTCAGTTGATGGGATTGTTAATATTAATGACATGCTGTTCAGAAGGGAAATAGTCAGAACGATTTGACCTAGACACTTATCTAATAATTAGATTATTAGATTACATAGGTAACACGATTTTTAGTTACCTAGGGTTTTATTTTTTGCATGGAAAAGTATTTAGCTTGAAAATGGTTTTTTTTCTTTGAACTACGTTACCACATTATCCAATAGTTTGGGCAAATGAAAGCAAAGTCTATAAAACAATTTTTTGAGTACAGTCACTTTATCTGAAAAATACAATTCACCGCTCCCTAAGGCGTCCTAAATATACATAACATAATAATCTATGTACCTAAAAGTTTAAATGAGTAGGTTTTATCTAAAATTTCTTAACTGCCTTCTCTTGAAGTAGAAAAAAGAAAAATACCATATTTGCACATTAAGCATAATAGCATCCTGGGTTTCTTGTAAGCAAGCGTTTTAAGAAACAACAATATTCTGTTTATCCCTGAGGAACATTTAAGAAACTCTAAACTCTAAGATAAGTTTCTCAATTGTACATAAATATTAAATAATATGTCAAATATAAAATTGTTAAAACTCTAAGAAAACTACACACAACCTAGACACATAACCACAGTATTGATGCTTTTAGAACACTTCTTATGTTGCGAAAACAACTTTTTATTTTCACAATTATCCACTTAAAAATGTTTCTCTTCCGCAATTTATTGATCGATTTTTAACCCAATAATGATTTATGTCGAGGCTAATTACCCTAGTGATTCACCCCCCTTGATTGATTGGTAATTATTACTGGTGACAAAGGTGTAACTGATGGTGCAGGGTAGGTTGGGGGGAGGGGTAATTATTTAGAACAAATTGCAAAGGTACGAGATTGGGGTGGTATGGTGTTCCTGACAGATTGATATTATGTGGCTAGTATCATCCCCACGCAACATTGTCACCTTAGCATTGGGAATAGGATTACTAGTTAGTGTTCGCCATTTTAAGTAGAGTTTTGAAGGTTGAAACTATATTTTGACATTTTATTGGCGAAGAATATACTAAAATAAGGTCAAAATCAATGCGTTATTGGTTTATGTTGGTTATCCTTTACACAGCAATAATAAATATGTACATAGGCTCAATTTATCTGGATACTCTTAAACCGGGACACAGCTGTTGGTAAGACTTCGTTTTAACCGGCCATGTTCGGTCGGATATGAAAATCAAGGGTTTTCTTAGAGTATTCATATTCCCTACACTTCATTTCCACCATAATGAACTGAAAGGTAAATTAAAACAATAGGTTGTTTAACAATTTTATATCAAGTCCAGTTTAAACTGGATTTTACAAACATGAAAGATGTTAAAGAAAAACTCCAATAAGTGTTACTCGTTAGGTTAAGTTCAGTAAATATACGCGTACAACAGCCTCCCTCTGTTTCTAATTTGTAAACTTAGATTAGCAATAAATAATAGTATGTTTCAACCGGACATTGCGTCAACCTGGCTGGAATAACATTTTTGATTAAGTAGCCTATCTAGGAAATATACTTATGAAACACACGCTCCCGTTCCCAAGTACGCCTTTACATTTTTGTTTAGTATTTAATACCTGTTTTAAAATGAGGATGGTGATTGATAAATGGGCATCATTAAAAACCGTTTTGATCACAATGGTTTATTAAGAAATTATCTGTCCAGTTATCCCTGAGATGCGTCTTGCGTAGCCAAAGAGGGCTACTGTGTAATTTTTACAACTATCCAGTTAGTTTCTGTAATGTTATATCTAATTTACCTTAAATTTACCTAATGTATCGGGCCGTCTCGGCAAGATGTAAGAAACGTAACCTATTTAATATTTTGTTAACTTATAACTTATAAATTATTTTCAGTGTTTATTATATTTTCCTAATACTTAGATAAAGAGGAGAAGTTTATAGGTTCGAAACTACAAGTAAGTTAGCTTAAAATAATTATGGATTTCTTAGAATCATTTAAATTGCCATAACTTTTTTTGGTCTACTAATTTAATTACGAGAGACTTTTTTTTAATAACAAAGTACAAATCCACATGTTTGCAAAACTGTTTCAATGAAAAAACACATATCATATAAATAATTATTGCAGCTTCTAATTTTAACTCATAATGACATTCTGATACAAATCAAGATTCAATTTAGGTTATATAAACAGACAAAACCACTGATTTTCCATAGTATGTGCGATTTTTCTAACACACAAGAAGGCGTAATATTCCATATGCATAAAGTAACAAATCAAATGATGAAATGCAGGATTGAGTTTCCAAGAATCTTTGCTGCGTTATCGAGTTATAAATCAAGATACGGAGGGAGACACGAGTCATATTTCAACATCAATCCGTTCAATATTACATTTGTAACGAATTCAGTTTTCCCTTCGCATAATGCTTAACAAAGGGGGAATTATTGCGCCTACGTAGGAAGCGGAAGTCGACAGGGTCTGAATTGTGTTTCCGGTTCGATTCCTGCGACAGTGCCATCTGGCGTCAATGTAATTGAGCATGAAGCTCTATCGAGGTATTTAAACTGTTTTGTAACTTACCTTTCCGTGGCTTAGTTTGCCTTAAGGGTGGCAGTGATTTGTAAGAAGAACAATTTGTAACTTTTGTACTTATGCCCTTGGCTCTTTCTGTAAGGAAAATAATGTACATATTGGTCTAAACAAAATTATTAAAAATGCCTTAACTAAAGTTTCTTAGTCAGCCTAAATGTTAAGTTCATATGCAAAGCTAGACAGGTTACTTCCATGTAGCACCTCCGCAAAAATAGAAATGTTTACAATTCATTACACTATCCAAATATAAAATTTACATTCTTGGATATACTCGTAAAAATGTAAGACTTACCTTTATTGTTGTATTCCTTCCTTGACTTCTCTTGTTTCAGCTCATCCGGACAATCATCGTAGCTCACTGAAACATGAGAAAGGTTTAAGTCAAGACGTTTGTAAGTCATGCAAATATTATATGCCACTAAAAGGCTCGTGGCTAGTTTTAGTCTATGTTTGTACCTTCTGTTACGTTTAAAGGACTGAGAATCGTCTTAAAAGATGCATAGCAGTGTATAAGAACTACAATAATTATTTATTTTGTAGGAAAAGTACTGATCTATTTGTGATGTTTGGACTCTGTAGTTGGCACTCTATAACACGCTGTAAGTACCTTTAAGAAAATAAACATTATTAGACTCAAAATACACGGCATCTTTTTTGATTGAAGCATTCCTTTCTTACTCAATGAGGAGGTTTATAGCTCCTCTTAATTAATCACCAAACCATAAACAGTTTGATTAAAATTTAGTTGGTGTTACATCAATAGCTCGTACAAATTCAATTTCAAAAGTTAAATACAACTCTTACTTTCTGCGGCAGCAGGAAAACAATCCAAGCTGGTATTTCACTCCCGTTTGTCTTGCTTGTTACATCAAAGTTGTGGTATTCCGGGTCAATTCCTAACCGTTTCAGTGAGGACAACGTTTCCCAACAACTTTTGTTAAGTTCAGTGATTTACTTTGGGTTCTCTAAGTAGACATTTCACCCTATTAAAATCTGAAGCTTGTGTCTGTTTGCTCTATTAGTAGGCTTTGACTGCGTTAGTGCACACATAGTTTATCTTTTGTGTGTAATTTCACAGATTACCCAAACATCACAAAACATACTTTCCAAAAAGTGCCACTATCTTTGAATACCGCGAGTTTACCTGGCGTCAGAAACAAAATCAAAAATCAAAATCTCTTTATTCCTGAATTAATGTTACATGTTTGTTAAAAATTGTGAGTGTACAGGAAAAATAATTCCCAAGTAGACTATCCGTCTGTGTTTGGGAATGAGTTGCTAATACAGCTATACACATGTCCATAAACATTCAGGAGTACTTAGACACTTAATGATGATAGTAAATAAAAAAAAAATATTAACAAGATCAAGAGAGAAAAAAACCTAATTGCATCGAAACATCCAAAACTCAAATTTATTGATTGTAAGTGCTATTTAGCAGTGAAAGAAAAAAAAGTGATTTGGTGACGCCTAATGACTCTATGCTTAAACACAGCGACGCTGTCACTCTCCGCCTCTCGAATATGTGAAGGCAAGTTTCTATACAATGTATGACAAACGTAATAAGGTATAGTTTTAAGGGTTGAATGGGAGAATCTGGGAAAAGAAAAGCCAAAGTTAATGTTACTTCTAGTCAAATAACGATGTTGAACAGGAGAAAAAACCGAACATTTATTAAGTTTTATGAAAATAAGAAGATTTTTTATGAACAATTGTCGAATGTTTAAAACTGGAAAGTCACAAAAAACAGTTGCAAGGAAGAAAATCTAGAGTTTTTGTTTAAAATAGTTTTGATAACAGATCGTTGAACGACAGAAAGTGGTTCCAGAACAGTAGGAAGGGCACCACCCCAAGCCAGGATGCCATACTGCAACACCGACTGCACGTAGGCAAACAGATGCAGGTGTGTTCTGATAATGTCATTAAACGTTAAGTTTACCAATTTTATAAATGTTTGTCTCTTTGTTAGAGTGAATTTTAGAGGGCGCACTTAACCAGACATTCCTCAAATTGTACATAAATAATTCGAAGTAAAGGTACCTTGTGGATACAACCAATGTTTTTATCGTTGAAAGTAAACTTCTCATCCGACTTTGGTAACACTATTTTGATTACTAAGGATGTCTCCTTTAGATCTCCCTCAAAGGATGGCTTTAATACAAATGACTTGAAATATTGAGTTACTTTAGCGCATAAGGCGTATTGGGTTATTCTAAAACAAACGCTGCTTTATGTTTGAAAATTAAATACCCCCGCCGCAGCAAACCTGCCGACTAAGCGAATTTCCATTTATCTGAATTGATTTTCAGTTAAATATATTTTAATAACATTAGGTTTAACGAGTACCTAGGTTTGCTGCTACAAGGAAACTAATAAAGTGTGTTTTTGAGTAAAATATTGATAGAATTCCAAGTTTGATAAAAATATATTCATAAACAAGCAAACTACAACATTTGACAATATTCTCCATAAGAATAACATAGGAATTTAAAATTTAAATTTATTTTTAATTTTCTCCGTTACTAATAATAGAACAAAAATACTTTTACATACTAAATTATTTGTTTTTTAAGCTCTTTAAAAAGGTCTAAACAGAAATTGGGAAATTTTGTGTTTTGAGGGTCAAAAGTGAGAAAAACCAATTTTTACCCCATAAAACCCCCCGTAAAGCCCCGTTCCCATGGTCCGATCAGGCTGGTTCGCGAACTCATTCAAGTTTATCCCGCTTTACACCTTTAAACCAAATTTCAACAAAGTCGGACAAAAATTACTCAAGTTATCGCGTTCACGGACGTATATATATTTATATATATATATAAGTCTATATATATATATAAATTTGAACGAATTGTGTTTTTGGCCTCTGGGGACATCAAAATGAAAAAGTAAATCGGTCCCGGGTCTAGGTCTTACCGTGCCACCTACGGTAATAGCTACTTCCCTATAGGGAAATTCGCTAATACAATTATTACGATTAATTCATGCTACTGTAGGGGATGATCCACCCTAAGACTAAAGAACAAAGAAGTCACGTGGCCGGGCGTGGTCACACCCAATTCATATAATATTCTATTCTCCATTATATTTAAAATGAATCGATATAAGTAATTGGCCTTTTGAAGTAACGAAGAATCAATCATTTGTTTCCTTCCAATGCAAGAGAACCTAGCTGTTGTATCAAAGTAATCATACTATCATACTTCATACTAATATTATAAGTGTGAAAGTTTGTGCGTTTGTTTGTTTGTATGTTTGTTTGTTTGAAGTACAATCCCGCTTAACTATTCGTCGGATTGGGTTGACATTTGGTATAATGATAGCTCACATTTCCGATTAACATATAGACATATTCTTATCTCAAAAATCCGTTCGGGCTCCGCCCCAGTGGCTCTAGAGTTTCCCATGTTAATATGAGTATACATTGCGATTCTCATGCCTCTCTTAAAATTAAGTCTCCTAAAGTTACACTCGCTTAGCTGTTGTAGAGAGGTGAAACCCTCCCATTGCAAACGCAAAGCACGAGTATTACTGCAATAAGCATTTTATACTTATACGCCAACCCCGTAAGACGGACGGGTATTCTGCTAGTCCTGCTGTATATGCCTTGCAAAACTTATATTATTATATTCTGTTTTAAAGTAAATAGCGTGGTTTATACTTTGTAAGATACACGTGTTCGTTAATGATATTATATCTTGTGCCTTAGTATGACAACATGCATGATAATATCTGTTGTGAAAATAGAGTAAAATGTTTTAAACTTACTTTATTTTGAAAAGCCGGTGATCTGTTTAACCAGTTTGTGGGATTGGACGTTTCGCGACAGACTAGTGAATGACCACATTTGTTTGATACCTGATGCATATTCATTCGCTCATATGAGATCTCTATTTAAGCTGGTGGAACAAAGCTTTTAAAATATAAATATTTAAAATATGACCCATCGACTGGACCATCATAGTCAAAACAATATCCGGGTGTAAAGATTTTACTTCCATAGATTCCGACAAAAGATATTGTCATATAATAACTGTTTGGCTATCCTTATATTTCTATAAATGATGTTAATATTTTCCCTAAATTATGAGTAAGCTAAGTCAAACTGATAAACATTCCAATTATTTTAAATATTAAAGTTTACTTTCGGTAGGCCTTATCTAAATGTAAATCTAAAGTTTGTTTAGGTGTAAGATCCATGTCTACGCTTGAATCGTAATGTTGACTTAATGTTTTCCTTACATTTTGGGGTGAATTTAGGATGTGCGCTATATTCGTTAGTAATAAGGAAAATGAACAATTTACAAAATAAATATTCCATTTGGTCGTAATAAATATTCGTTGGTGACAGTAAACTTCAAAACTACTCTAAATAATATACTGGGGACAGGCACATTAAATTGGCTCTTTAGCTAAACAAATAATAAAAAGAACTGAAGGGTTGAAATTCATCTTCAGATGACGAATTAGGTAAAAATGAGGCAGTATGTTTTACTCAGTCAGTACCTTAAAGAAGGAATACCGATTGTTTCTAGATGTATTTCCTGGCTAAACGTAGAAATAACCCCGCCGCAGCAAACCTGCAGACTTAGCGAATTTCCATTTGCTTGATTGGATTTACACTAAAATGTCTTCTTAAAAATATCACATTTATTCCCTATTTCAATAGAATTAGTTTAACGAGAACTTATGTTTGCTGCAGGGAGGGTAAACAGGTATTTTTTGTTGTAAAATGGTAATACTGTAGTTTAGTAAGAAATTAATGTATTTTTCAAATTGGATCAAAATTTGTTCATAAACAAGCAAACTACAACAGTTGACTAATTTTTCATAAGAATAACATGGGAGTTTTATTTTAACAATTTTTGGAATTTTCTCCGCAACCATTAGGCGCATAATAACGATTCAATATACTAACTTATTTGTTTTTTTAAGCTCTACAAAATGGTTTGGAAAGTAATTGTGAAATTTTGTGTTTTTAGGGTCAAAAATGGGAAAACCCTATTTTTACCCCATAAAACCCCCCATAAACCCCCGTTCCCATAGTCCGATCATGCTGGTTCGCGAACTCGTTCAAATAAATGTAGGTTTTACACGTGTGTACCAAATTTCATCAAAACCGGATCATTTCTGCTCGAGTTATTGTGCTAACGGACACATATATACTGTATATATATATATATATAAATATATATGTATATATATGAATTTGAACGGATGGTATTTTTGGCCTCTAGGGACCTCAAAACGAAAAAGTAAATCGGTCCCGGGTCCAGGTCATACCATGAGTACTACGGTAATAGCTTATTCCCTATATGGGAAATTCGCTAAAACTGTAAACAGTCATGCTGAAATGTTACA